CCCCTGCCAGCCTGATTGATACCTAACTGCTCCCCCCTGCCAGCCATTGCCCCCAACTGCCCTCCTCTGCAGGCCTGGTCGCCTCTAACTGTCCTCTCCTGCTGGCCTAGTCACCCACAACTGCCCTCCCCTGCAGGCCTGGTCACCCGCAGCTGCCCTCCCCTGCAGGCCTGGTGAGGCCTGGTCGCCTCTAACTGTCCTCTCCTGCTGGCCTAGTCACCCACAACTGCCCTCCCCTGCAGGCCTGGTCACCCGCAGCTGCCCTCCCCTGCAGGCCTGGTCTCCACCAACTGCCCTCCATTGCCGGCCCGGTCACCCCTAACTGCCCTCCCCTGCAGGCCTGATCGCCTCCAACTGCCTTCCCTTCCAGGCCTGGTCCCTCCCAACTGCCCTCCCCTGCTGGTCTGGTTTCCCCCAACTGCTCTCCCCTGCAGGCCTGATCTTCCCCAACTGCCATCCCATGCCGGCCATCTTTGACCACATGGGGGCGGCCATCTTGTGTGTTGGAGTGATGGTCAATTTGAATATTACTCTTTTATTAGCTAGGATTCCAATTATAGTTTACGGGTGAGGTATGATGGCTGTTTTCAGGCTGGCCACACCCCCTTGAGGGTGGGGGGTCCCCACTGGGGTGCCTGGCCAGTTTGGGTGAGAGGCTGAGGGCCGTTTTCAGGATAGCCAAGAACCCTGGCAACGTAAGCTCCCAGCCTCTCCTTTTTTTAATTTTTTTTAATTCTGGGATTTATTTACCTTCTATAATTAAAACTTTGTTGCCTTTAGTGGAGGCCTGCGGAAAGCTTGGCTTCCTCCATCACTGGAGCAAGCAAGCCTCCTGCTCGCTCCAGCTCCGTGGCCACGACTGGCTGAAAGCAGGTATCTGGGGTTTATTTACCTTCTATAATTAAAACTTTGTTGCCTTTAGTGGAGGCCTGCGGAAAGCTTGGCTTCCTCCATCACTGGAGCAAGCAAGCCTCCTGCTCGCTCCAGCTCCGTGGCCACGACTGGCTGAAAGCAGGTATCTGGGGTTTATTTACCTTCTATAATTGAGACTTTGTTGCTTTCAGTGGAGCTCAGAGCCAGGCCGCCGCAGGCAGGGAAGCTTGGCTTCCTCCATCACTGGAGCAAGCAAGCCTCCTGCTCGCTCCAGCTCCGTGGCTGCTGGCCGCCATCTTGGTTGGGTTAATTTGCATATAGTCGCTCTGATTTCCTGGTGGGCGTGGCTTAGGTGTAGCAAAATTATGGTCAATTTGCATGTTTGTCTTTTATTAGTATAGGACTAGAGGCCTGGTGCACAAAAATTTGTGCACGGGGGGGGGCCCTCAGCCCGACCTGG